GGTGCTGAACCACCTCCGGAGCGATGCGATTTTCGGACCAGAAAGGTGCAAACCCGGGCTCTCGACGGAGGTTTGCACGTCCGGACCCCCCGCGCAGCCTGCCTCCGACCTTCTCACCTCCGACACACTTCGTCCCCCTCCTTCTCCTCCTCCTCGCAAGGAGCTTTTCCTCCCCCTCCACCGCAGTGACAAACCAGCCCCGGTCACGCCGAGTCGCTGACACCACAGGACAACTTGAGGAGCCGCCGTCCATTCCGAAAAACCCGGTCTTCCCCCCAGTTCCCTCGCGGGCCGGGGCATCCCCAGCGCTCCCCGTCGGGATACCCGCGGGCGGCGGGGACGGAGCTCCCAGAGCGCGGCTCGGATGGGGGGTTTTAAGCGCGATTACAAATAAAGGATAATAATAACAATAATAATACTAACAGTAGTTTTGTTAGGCGGCAGGGCCCGGCCGGACCCAGGCCAGGGGTCGCGCTAGGCACCCCCGATGCTCGCACCCCCTTTGTGTGCGCCCGAGTCGCCCGGGCGCCGACAATGCGGGGCCGGCCAAAAGTTGCGAGGCGGCGAGTTGGGACGCGGCGGGACCCGCAGCCCCCCGCGCAGGGCTCTTTGTTAGCGGGGCTGTCCCGCACCCTGACGGGCCGGCGATGGGGTGGCTGGGACCCTCGCAGGACCACCCTGGATGGGGCGCTCCGCGACCCCGCAGGGCCGGGACCCCCGAGTGCGGGCGCTACCCCCGCACTCCGCGGGGTCCGGCCCGGGGGGGGGTTGAGGGCAGGGGGGGCTGCGCCACAAAGTTTAGTTGCGGGGTGCGCGGCGGTTTGCGCGGGGGTTCGTGTGGGGCGCGTACTCACTTCTCCCTGGCCTGGCTGTCAGACGGGACGCTGCTGTTGCTCTTGCCTTTGCCGTACATGCCTGCGGAGAAGCTCCCGACTGTCACGCACCTGTCAACCCATCACCGCCTCCCCGGGACCGGCCCCGTCGCCACGGCGACCGCGCCACTCGCGCGCGCCATTGGCCGGGCCCGCCCCCGGCGCCGTGATGGACGGGGCGCACGGAGGGGCCGAGCGGGCCCCCCGCCCCGCCCCCGGCCCCCCCCGCCCCTGCTCCGCGCCGCTCTCGCCGCCTCTCCCCGGCGCAAGGGGGAATTAGAAACGGTTCTAGAAGGATTTTTAAACAACCGGCTGTTCCCGGCGCCGGCCGTCCGCCCGCCGCCGCTGCCGCCGCCGCTGCCGCCGCCGATGGGGGAGCGCCAAGGAGAGACGCAAACTGCGGACCGGATTCGCTGCCAGCCCCGTGTCCGCGGCCTCCCACCCGCGCACTGAGACCCCCCGACCACCCCCCGCGCCCCCACCAGGGCGGGGGGCACTCCTTGCCCTCTCCTCCCCCACATCATCCGCTCTCAGCCCTCACGGGGACACCCCACCCCGGCCAAACACAGCCCCGAGGGTCCCCCCCGACAGCGGGTCCCACCCCACCGAGGGTCCCCCTGTTGCCCCACGAGGGGAGGGACCTTCCTCCTTTGCGACGGGAGGGTGAGTGCCGGGACCGGCCTTAGGCAGCTGGAGGTGGGGAGGAAACATTTCCTGCACCAAAGCAGCGTGACTTTTTAGAGAGGCTAAAAAAAAAAAAAAAAAAAAAAAGGTAAAAAAAAAAAAAAAAAGAAAACAAAAAACGAAACTGCCCCACTGTCTCTAAAGAAAATTCGAGGAAATGCTTTGATTTTTTTCTTTACAGTTATATCGCAATAATTGCGTGCTCACAAGAGGTGGTAGGAAGGGAGCAGCCACTGGGGCCATTTATTGCTTGATTTTTTTTTTCTTCCTCCTAAACCACAGTCCCAAATTGTGCAGGTTTTGATATCTGGTTATGTTTAAAGTGCGACTAACCTTGTAAACCCACTCACGTGCGTAACTCCTGGGTGGGGGCTTTTAGTAGTTTAATGTTTTGTATTTAATGTCAAGCCCTTTCTCAGGTCGGGCCAGGTTGTAAATGTGCCCATCTCCACGTCCTGTCGGCAGGCAAAGGTCACGGGCAACCAGCGCCACAAAAAAAACCCCAACCAAGATTGGAGGAGGGAAGTTGTGCCAGACGTGGACCACCAGCATCTGTTTATCATTGCTGGAGCTGCAAAGGGAAAAAAAAAAACATCCTCTGGATTTTGAGCTGCCAGAGCGAAGGGAATGGTCGATGAGGTGAAATTGAGGGGGGGGGAGGGGCATAAATAAGAGTATTGATGAGCGACTGGAACAAATTAGCGATGTCAGCAGAGACAACAGGAAGAAGTAAGGGAGGCTGGAGAATCCGAGGTGCTTATAGCAGTTCCCTACACGATGTGGGTTGTGTGGGATGTCTGTGCTGTTGCAACCCGCCACAGTAATTCATCAGATTAGAGCACACCACAACATTTTGTGCTAAAGTTGGTTGTCTTAGGCTTATACCTCATTTTTTAATTTTTTTTTTATTATTAACACTGGGAGAGAGTGGTTGGAGTGAATATAGGGAGAGAAGTAAATAAGGCTGACATCAGCCACCCTGGTGAGATCAAGGCTCCCAAATTACACCGATGAGACCAGAGGAAGAACAACGAACAAGGTGGCAACAGTGGGTTGTGGTGTGAGGAGAAAGAGGGAAAACAGAAAAAGACGGGGGGAAGGATAAAAGGGTAGGAAAAGCTCACAGAGGAAATTAAGGAGGAGGAAATGAGGAAGCAAAGCCCAAGCACAGTGCAAGAGGAATTTGGGTGATAAAAGTGGGGAAAGACAAGGAGGAGAATATGAGAAGTTAATGAAACGTGAACCGATGGGAGGAGTTTTGGCCTCATTTAGGCAGAATAATGCTTACATGTGTTGTACCATGGAATTTAGGTTGGATATGAAGCTGATGGCATTCAGGGTGACCATGGGCAGCAGAAAATGGTGCAAAGAAATGCTGGGAAAGAATCAGGGCATAGAACAAAAAAAAGACTTGGGTTGTAAGTAAGGCATAAGAAAGGAGATTTGATGTGGGAAGGAAAGGAGTGAGCGTGGATATCCTTGGCCAAACTACAAAGGTAAATTACACAGGTACAGATCATTGTAATCCAGAATACAGTTTCCATCCGAATATTTGCTTGCCCTTGGGGAAGAGCCATTATCACTCTATCAGATACAATGAGTTTCTCTTGTTCAAGGCTTTATGCTGCCACCCTGACCCGTGGTTTTAGTAAGGCTTTCACACCAGACTGATAACCGTGGTGAAATCCTTCCCGGTCAAGACAATCCTCGAAATCTGTTGTTTTGTTTGCCTCAATTGCTTTGGTTGATTTATTTGTGGTTCGTGGGGGGAGGGAGGGAAGGGGGATATTTTGAGAAGATGGCTGTATCTGTGTTGTGTCAGCCCTGGAAGGGGAGTTTTGTTCTTGAAAAGGACAATGTTGAGGTGTTTCCTAAAAATGTGATGGTGAGATAGCTATTAATGTCCTTTCGATATGCAGCACAGCTAAAAATGCTTTGTTCCCGTTTTTCATGTGATTTATTTGCATTTCTGTGATTTATTTTGGTCTGAAGGACCCCAAATGACTTGTGTGCTCGCAGATCAAGATGTGATCTGGGGCAGAGCGGGAGGAACTTCAGGAGGGCAGGGCTGGACACTGAGACAGGATCAGGATGGCCCCGTTCCCAGTGAGGCTGGTAAAACTCCCTTGTCTTTACAGGTCTGCTTCCCAAGCTGCCATTAAAATTCAGGTGATGACTTTGTAATTTTGCTTAGAGATCCTTCAGTGGAAAAATGCAGAAATAGTGCTAACAGTTATTTATTATGCATATGAAAACTAGAGCACAAAAAGGAATAAGGTGCTTGCAGGGCACTGCTGTGGGTTTGCCCAGCTGATGTTACCACTGCCTTTGGAGGAATGATATCAGTAAGTATTATATACCAGCACCCCACTAACAAAATTTCATCACGTGAATGCAAAAGTTTGCTTATTAAGCAGGTAAATTAACAAAAAACACCAAAAGAGTCTAACCAAGTTTGATGTGTCATTAGTTCTTTCTGAGAGTGTGGATACTCGTATAATATCCGTGTATGCCTGCCCTTGCTCCAGTCGTTCTGAGCACAAACACTGCTCTCAGAAGCAGCAGTTGTATCTCATGAGGCCAACCCTGTAATTAATGAGATTTGAGGCACAACTACTGAGACAAAATTTAAGTTTCCAGTATCAGAAATGAAGATCCAGTCTTTGGTAAAAAAGGGGATAAGGGTGGCAGTACTTTAAAGCTTCTCAAATCGACATTGGAAAGGAATTCACAATGTATTTTTAGAGTGTTATAAAAATCTCTTACATAATGCTGATTAATTCCTAGGTTTTAGGGAAGAGCACTAGGCTTTGTGTATAAGAGTGTTGACCAGCTAAGCCACTGAAAAGGGCTGGTTTGGGCTGGATTTTTTTTCCCCTTTAACTTTTTTTTTTGATACAGAAAGCTGCAATTATTCAATTATTACAGGATTTTGCTTTTGTTTGTGTGTGTATTTATTTTTCTGGAAACTGCATCTTATTCTGGGAAGTCTTTATCATTTTAAAGCATATGTTATGTTATGTTATGTTCTGTTATCACCCTGTCTGAGATATAGGATAGCTACAAAGTGGGTGGGGGTTTTTTCCCCCCTCTGTCTTGCTGCAGCTAGTTACAGTATGGATTAATGTTAAGGATATCTGCAGTGAAACATTACTTATGTGGCTGTGTAGGACTCACTTAAACAATGTCACTTATATTACAGAATCATGATTTTCCTGGTGCAATAATATGTACAATTACTTTATATTTCTGTCCATTCTGTTGATTTTCAAAATCATTGATTAATCTAACTGGCAGATTTCACACAGCTCCTAACAAAGGGCTATTCAGGAAATTAAGTCAGTAAATGGTACTCCCTTATTTTAATTCTAGTTATCTATACTTATTGTTGTGTAGCTGGGAAGATTTTTTGGACAAGATACCATGGAAAAGGGATGCTTTTGTTTAGTCTTTTTCAACAGATATATGACCGAGGCAGCTTTGAAGCCTTCCTGAAAAATCCTCCTTCCTTCTGTAGAATGTTTAATCTTCCTGTGGAGTGTCTAACTATGAGACTCACTCTGAGAATTCCATTCTTTTGCCATACAGATGAGTAAGAATTCCTCAGGTAAGTGAGATGAGTCCTCAATTGTTACTGCAGAATGAAGGTAGGAGGAATATGTGGGTCCAAACAAAACGTTTATTTGCCCCACTTTTCTACTCAGGAGGAAATGAAAGTACTTAGAGTTCAGGGTAGGGATGGATGATCCTTATGGGTCCCTTCCATATATTCTGTGATTCTGAGTCTCAGAGAAAGGCTTACTAATAATCCAATAGCCCCTTTCACTTTCTTTTTCCAGTGAAAACCAAAATTTTCTTCTGGCTTTGGAGAAGGAGCAAAGATGATTTTGCAGCCTCCTGTTACACAGTTCGTCCACGAAGAGGCCACACAAATATGACCAGTTTAGAAACAAAACTTGGTGAGAGTAAACCTTTATTGCTCTCATTGGCTGTGATACAAGGTTTGATTACACATGTGAGTGCTCAGGCTCCCAGTTTGCAAACATGTGCAATTCAGAATAGGGGAAATTATCAATAAAGGGCACACAGTCTGAAACCTACAGTGGAAAAAACACACATTTGTGTGTACTGGTTTCCTCCACTTTAGCTGTCACGACTTCGTTCTCTGGTGTTTCATGTGGTTTCAGCTCTCCCTGATGCTGTTTCCACTGGAGGGGCTCTCACACACGGACACTCACGTGTGTGTTTTTGGTGCTCGCTAAGAAAACTCGTGTTGTCTCTCATGAAGAAAAGTTCAGAAACAGTCTCCCTTCTCTCTCCAATCACATATTTTTACTTCTAGAACTGTCATTGCCACTCTTTTTTCCCTGAAATTTAGTTAATAATCGGATTAAAATTATTTCTGACATATACATAAACACCCGTGGCATGTGAGGTCACTGTTTAGCTG